GAAACACTGTGCAGTATATATATGAAGTTTAGTTGAATTAAAAAACATCCATGCCTATTTGAAATGGATAAACTGAAAGAAATAAAGCAATGTTGGCTCACACATCCAAATAAATGTATTATCTGCATTTACAGATAACTAAATGTTCTTATTAGTTCCAGTTCTTATCCCAAAACCCCACCTTCAGTCTAGTGCTCTCTAAGATTGTATTGACATGTTGACAAAGTTACAGAAGTTGGTTTAGTTGTGTGCTCCCATGTGTGCAGACAGCTCCAGTGTGTAAACGGCTGCAGCGACTCTTCATTGAGGAGAAGTGATGACAGACAAATGTTTTCTCCCACCAGGACTTTACACATACCACTACTCGGTGAGAAATACGCCCGGACTCTTTCAACACATTTTCTATTCAATTTCAACTTCCTTACAAATCTCCAATCTGTGTGTGTAAACTTGTATGGACCATTTATATTCTATCACTCTTCAAGCAAGTGCCCTTTCAGAAAATGTCACATCTAATTAGATTCATAACTTTCTTATTCAGTTTTGTAAAGCTCAAAATCAAAACAGCTGCTGTCTCTCACTTTATACGTGAATGACAAAAGTGTAATGAAGTGTAAAAGATAATTTACCTCAGACTAAGCGAGAAAAAATCTTGCATGCCCTAAGATATTTAAACATGTTCTGATCAAATTAAATTGTCTGATAATAGTATCTTGAATTTATATTGCATTATTCACTGTGCTCAGGTTGTGTCTTTTATCATTAGTTGTTTTGACTCTCAAGATGATTATTCGAGTATAAGAAAGGAGAATGATCTTACTTTGGGTTTCCCGATCCTTTGACTAAAAACAAATTAGTGGTAGCAATCAAAAAGTGTTAACCTGGACTAAACCTGGGTTAACACTGAAATGAAATAGAACTATAGTTTGTACCAACGCAGGAATTAACCAGATATAAACATTTGCTCAGGAACAAACAAAGCCAAGACAGCCAAAAATATGAATACAAAAATTTATAAGGTGGAGAACAAAATTAACAACAGGGCCAAACCAGAACCTGACAAATCCTTGCTTACTGCATCTGAAACTCTAGATTGCAGTTTGAACTTTGAATGAACAAACTCAAAGAGACATAATGACACGCTGTGATGTGAACCAGCTGGAGGTCATTTAACTTTCTCTTCATAATGGGTTTGGGTCTTTTAACTGTGCACATCCGGTCAAACCCCAGGCCAAAGCGCTTTATCTGAATTATGCACCAATGATGTGTGAAACTGCAGCAATTCATGAATTAATCCCAACTGCCTCAGGTTCTTTACTCATGTTGGGACAAATTGATCAAATTCCTTCTCATATTATTTTCTCAGATACAATTTTGGAGGTACTGAGCAATTACAGTGAGTCAGTATGTGTTCATTGGATTATAATAGACAAGTAAAATTGGAGATGCATTGGCTCTATCCTGCAATTCTGTCTCTGAATTCAGCTGGAACTCTCTTTCGCTTAACATAATGTAATACGTTGCTGTTTGTGGTGATTTGTAGTCCTGTGATAGATTGTTAAAGGGACCATATTAGACTATTTTTATGTTATGTTTTTTTTATATGTTATAATATTATTTCCTGATCAAAAACATACCCAGAGTTGTGTTTTGTTTCAATCACACATGTCTAACACACAAATCCTGCATATTTAGGCTGAGTTCTTCTCTTAAATAGAAAATATTGGATCATTTGGATAATTTCAGCCCTGGAAAAATAGCTGTTAACTTGAAAACTACTGCTTCATGACATCAAATGAAATAAAACACAACTTCAGGGGTGTTTTTGATGAGGTAACATGGCTAAAATCTCACAAGAGTCAATTTCTCATAATATAGACCTTTAAATCGTGAGCTAAATACAAAACAAATCAGAGGTTACAATCATTAACTAAACAATACATTAAAATGAAAAAATCGTGTCTTTTAAACATATAGGGTGATTGTGTAACTATGTATTTGGATGATGGACATTTTGGGGAGACGTGGGTGTAGTTTCATCAACAATATTGTACCAGAGGAAGGGGACTGTTGCTTAGGAACACCATGAACCTGACGATCCAATCCTACTTTGCCCTGAGGAGAGGAGATAGGCAGCAGCTTTTAACACAACACAAGTTATTTCACATGAGCCCACACTGTTAAATATCCCACAATTTAGTGCAAACAAGTCCAGGCAGGCCTCACTTGCCCTTGCACTGTGACCCTTGACCTTGAGGGATATTGCCAACTAGATGAATATGACCAGGAAGTGTGAGTGTCGTGACCACAGTATTTGATTTCCAGTCTGACGTTTGGTAAAGAAGGCCTGCCTCCGCATACTAATGGAGATGTGGTATTTCCAGCATCAACTCTCGCAGAAGCTTTCATTTCAGGACAACATTTAGAGACAAAAACATTATGAGACAGTTGTTAAAGGTCTTATATTACAGAAAATTTACTCTTGTGAGCTTTAAGCCATGTTATAATTCTGTTACCTCATCAAAAATATACCCAGAGTTGTGTTTTGTTTCATTCACATGTTTGAGTAATCCTGAATTATTAGTCTGTCTACATCTCCAAATCTCATAATGATCTGTTCCTCTATGTAAACAGCTACCTTTTACTGTTTGTTAAGTAAACATTTGCAGCTCCAGGGCTAAAATGATCCAAATGATTCTAATGAAGGTGTATGGAGTTTAAAAGTACAGTGGAGCACTTCCTGTATTACCACATGACATCACAAGGTGGAACAGAGTGCTGAGGGAAAGGCAAATTATACTTACCCTTTAGAACACAGGTGTTTTCTACTAAAATATTTTTATTAAATTTTTTATTAAAATATTGTTAATTTTCTGTGGTGCTTAACATAGCAGCGTCTCCAGCGCCTCTGTATGTGGCCCCTCCCACCAGAGCAGCACAAATGAAGACTTGCCTCTTTCCAAACGCTCTTAAAGGACGATCGTTTTGACTGTTGACCGTGACACCCTCATCAACAAAATGTCCAAAATGAGAAAAGTGGAGCCGAGTGCAGGATTTTCTTAAAGTTTCAGGTTGTTCATAATATTATAATATTTTGTAAAACAAAGAGTTCATCAATTAAAAAAGATTTCTGTAATATATTTGTGTTTCTCTGCACAAATATTTCAACTTATTGTTATTTTTGGGGTTTATATGACATGAGTTTTCTGATCCGGCCCCTTTGGATCAAAGTCGGTTGGATACGGCCCCCGGGCCAAAATGAGTTTGACACCCCTGCTTTAGAAAGATACATACAAACCAGAAACTGCATTTAAAATTTCATGTGAGGTTGAAAAGTGAGAGACACACATATAACAGTCATTATGAGATTGTGTATTTGAACTGTAAATGATAAACAGTATTTTTATATTTCTCTCTTCAATGTAATTCAAATTTATTTTTTCTTTTCCTAAAATTGTGGTGGAGAACTTGAATAATAATGCCACGTGGGTAGTTTTTAGTCAGTGTAAAATAATCAATAATTCGTTTTTCTTGTATTTTAGTTTGTTTTAGATTTTTTCCCCCTACAAATTAATTCCAAATCAACTGATCAGCAGACTTATTGAATGACTGCATGGTGCTCAAGTTAGGCAGTCATTAATATAATCTGTCACAGAACTCTTTATCAGTTGAACTTTCTTTACCATTTAGGACGCTCTCCATTGTGTCATGTTGTTTCAGTTGTTTGGGGTGATGCTGCTGCAGTTTAAAGGAATGAGCGGTATGTGATCCGAAAGACTCTTCAATGGAATCAAAACAACAACAGCAGAAGATCAATGTGACTCAGAGAAGAGTAATTCATCATTTAAAGACACTCTGCATTCCTCTGAGACGCCTGGACAATGCCCCCCTTTGTGCTCTGCATGTGTCCGCATGGCACGTACCTGGAGACAATAGAAAACCAAGTGAAAGCAATTACAGTCCAATTCAATATCACTTTAAGTTGTTATGGCGATAATTAAAGGTCCAATATTACACAAAATTGACTGTAGTGAGTGTTAAGCCATGTTATAATGTTATTACCTCCTCAAAAGCAGACCTGGAGTTGTGTTTTGTTTCATTCACATGTGTTTGAGTAAACTTGCATTATTAGTGTGTCTACATCTCCTGCTTATTTAGGCTGAGTTCTTCTTTCAAACGTAAAACAATCTGTTCCACCTTGTGATGCCATTAAAGTGGTAGTTTTCGAGTTAAAAATGGAGCACTTCTTGTATTCTTGTATAAGTGACATCACAAGGTGTGTTTTTCATTTATCTCAGGTTGAATATCCAGGATATATTTGTATGTATGTGTTCAACGTGAGGAAACAACATTATAATATAGCTTTTAAAAATAGTATAATATGGGTTAATAATTATTTAATCATTTGCAAATTCACACTACATATTTAACCTGAAATGTCATTTATCAGTGTTTACTGTTCCTATCCGATGGAACTGTAAACACAGAATATTTAAAGATAGACCAAACTCCACAAACTCTAAGAAATCAAATAATAAAGTGATTGACAATTGTATTTTTTGTTTACATTGGTCACTATGGCCAAGTTATTTCTGATAGCATTAGGGGTTTTGATTTTCAACATGATTATTTGATTACCAGACGCGAGAATGACCTTACTGTGGGTTACCAGAGCCTTTGACTAAAACCAGAAGCAATTAATTAGTGTCAGCTTCTGCAGCTCAGTGGGTTAAGTGTGAAGCTTGTGAGCTTTGACATGAGGCATGGCCATTTACTGATAATGAGAAGAAATGTGTCCTCTATGTGCATGTTCTACTGCAGATGAAAACTTTCTTGACATTTCATAATTATATTACATAACTGTATAATTCAGTTGACTTGCCATTGTTATATGTTTTCAATTGTGATGTCTGTTTAAAAATATAAAAATACAAAGTTACGTCAGTGGGCTTTTGTCTGAATCAGATCTACAAACAAAAGATGATAAGAGATGGCTTGGGTTGAGGTAAAAGTGTGCTTTATTGAGTGTTCATAACCAAAGAGGCTTGAATGGACTCAGACTGGAGAAGTGCAAACTGGGTCACATGTGTTGCTAATAACAGACCAGGAGTAAAACATCATGCTTTGTACCAACAAGAGCATTTAGAGGTTCATAATAATATCACTTCAATTTATATACATCATTTTTCTCACACATTAAGAACATTGTAAAAGTGCTTTAGGCCTGTACAGTGTTAGAAATAGGCAGTCATGTAGTCACTGTGCAGTCAAGTATAACAACTAGACCTATTCAAGTTGAAATGACATGAGTCAGACCTTAAGATTAACCACTAGTTATGGTCCAACCCAAACCTATTTACCATTAACTTAAAATGTATGTACAATATTAAGTACTTACTTTGAGGCACATCCAATACACCTGATTTTCATGCAATTTTTTTTAACAATTTACTCTAAATGTGAAAATGTTACATTTTGTTATGATTCTTTTACACTTTTTAAAAAATAAAACTGTTTAGGTAATACTAAAAGTTTTTCTGGTACAACCAGCACCAAATATTTTCATTATTTGTAAAATGAAAAGCTGTACAAAATGTCGAATGTTTTGCAAATACTGGCACACCTGTGGATTTCATTTAATTAAGTTTTTATGACTAAACTTCTATAAAGTGTAAATCTAATCTTGTTTTCTGTATTTAATAAATATGCTATATTTTATACAACTAATGGAGAGCAAAGGGAAAGATTTATGCTATAATATATGATTCTACATTTTCTGTGGTCCACCATCCAACCAAACCAAAGCCAAACCTTGTATTTAAACTACCAACTCAAATGGAGATCAATAGTGCAGCTCATTTTGTGGTCTGCTCTAATCCAGGAAGCAAAATTTCCATTATTTTTTTCCCATAAACTACATAATAGCTGATGGGGACTAACGTTAATATTCTGAAACAACAACATGGTCTTTTGGTGTGGTATTTTAAAATTTTAAAAATGTATTTTTTGTGTCTAATACACATGAGTTATAGGCAATGGGTACCACATAGCTGTTTAACCTCTATTGTGGTTACTACCTTTTTTTAAACTCTTTTTTACAGTTTAAGGGCAAAATTAATGTAAACTTTACTTACAAAAACCAACGCAAATTTAAAATGTGGACTGACTGTTAAGCTGCGTATTTTTTCAAGAACATCCTTACAATTTCCTATTCCCATATTAAACTATTATCCTGTGTTTATAAAGTATCTCTTACCAGGGTAAACAAGGTCATGATTCTACATCTCTCTATTATTATCTAATACTCTACGAGGTACTGATTCTTTACAGCTTGGACAGAAAAGGTAAACCCTCATACATGTCCGCTTTAAGCTTAGCCCACTCAGCCACTCTCTGGATGGGACCCTTCTCCTGTCCCAAAACCATGGCGGCCTTCTTGAGTTTTGCTTCGTTGCGTTCCAGGTAATTCTCTGCCTCACTTTTTAGGAAGTTGAGTTTTTCAATGCGGCTTTCGTTCAGTGGAATATCCTCGCTCATGTACGGGTTAAAACGGAAATATGTGTCTGGAGGCAGGAGGGCGTCCAGCATGGTGTGTACTTCTACAAAAGAAAGAATAATTGTGTTTAGTTTGATTGAGGTCTATATTTTGAATACAAAAAATACAAAAGTTATTCAAATAAAGTACAAAAAAATATACAAAAAGGAGTATGTAAAAGTGAAATTTGTGTAGATGTATAACACTTTATCAATTGTGATATCATTCAACAAGACAATACATGTTTCCTTTACAGATATCGATCCTTCAGATTATATTCCAGCCAAACCAGAATTAATAGGTTTTCTTTTCAACTATCAATTAACAAATGAAATCAGTGCCTCAAACTGTGACTGATTTGATGTAGATTTTATGTCAGATGCCATTCCTGTTACTGTTGTTTAATTTCTCTTCCTGCATTAAACCTATAATTGCTATATTGCCTTATGTAAAAGTCTTAACGTGATGAATGATCTACAAAATCTACTCTGGACAATTAAAATTAATTAGTTTAAATGAACAGTTTTATATAATAAATTTAATCTGACCTTCTGTGTCTGTCGCGCTGCTGATGACGTGGGTCAGCTTGGTCTTGAGGCTGGTGTAGGTGGCGCTGTTCTTCACTTCTTCTTCGTAGCGTCCGGTCCCCAGAGACAGGACGCACTGGAGCGGCGTGTTTGGCCATAGGTTTTTACACTCGTGGATAGCCAACGCTGTGGGGTTGTTTATTAACAGGCCTCCATCCTAGAGGAAGAAATATGACATAAACGCATCATAAGTTTCACGGATCTGAAAGTGAGCAGGAGGACAGGTTAGAACTTTACTGTAGAATTTGGCTTTTAATTGCCAAAAATTTGTTGATGGTTACTGTCTTTCTAATTACTGTGTGTAGCCAAAAACTCATCATTTTTCCACAATAGCTTTAAAAGTAGTGACATAAAAAAATATTATTGTCAGCTGAAAGGACTTTGAGCCAGTTTAAAATGAAAAATGTGTTGACTAATATTTATCACACAACAATCTTGTTCACCTTAGCTTTATTTTTGCTTTGGATATTTCTTTCAAAAATTTGTTAAAGCTGTACTATGTAACTTTTTGATTAGGGGTCCGTCACCTGCTTGTTTCTATGGATACATCACTGCTCTGCCTAGAATGTTCCACAACTCTACTTTACATTTATTCAATTACAGGTGGCTTTAAAATTTATAGCACAAAAATACTTTGTAAAACAGGCATTCTGACTGTGAGCGGTGTTGCCTCTCCACAGATCTGACCTGTGACTTGGCCTGGTCTGGTCTCGCTGAAGACAAAGGTTTAATGCCATACTGAGACAAAGCAATAACACCAACTCCACCAGAAAAGTTACACAATGCACCTTTAACGGACATGCAATGGTGCTAATTTTACATAGACTCCTGCCCTTCATCTGAAAAGAAAAATTACTCTAAAACTAAACTGTGAAAAATCAGCGTCTTGAAGAATATGGGAAAGGTACAACAGGAAATGATCTGTGTGGAAACTGGCTGACTAAGTACGTGTCTGAGTGTTGTTATGAAAATCTGCTTGTAATAAATTTGTCAAAGTGCCTGTGAGATTTTCTTCACTGGGGACAAATGAGGTGACTGTCCCAGAGATGCACAGAGCAGACAAAAGAGAAGAAGAAGTAGTCTTGGGCTGAAGATGTGCTCCTCTGGCAGAAAGCCCAGTCCATTCAGATCTAAACAAGAGGGAAATCTCAAGCTAACAGCCCCATAGAGCCATAACAGGGCACTACTGTCAATATATTTAACAGTGTATTAAATAATGTGTGGAGCTTGTATTTCTTAATGTAAAGCAGTTACTGTACATACAAAGTTACATAACCTGTTATTCAAGTTTTGTTGTACTAAGTATTGAAATATTTATTACATCTCTTGAGCACTTTGTGTAATGACCACGCTACAGTTGCCAAAAACAAGAAGGACGACGTATGCTCCAAACCAAATTAGGGTGTAGATTCTTAATATTATTCTGAGATGGAGAGAAATCAGCAGTTGGTGTGACATTAATAAAAAATGAACTATTTGTGTATCAATGTTGTAAACAGTGGAATTTACACATTTTAACATAATTAAATGAGTAATCATGATTATTACATCCAATCATGACAAAAATTGTTTAACCAAGAATATACAACTAAAGCCAAGCGTACACTTTGTGATTTTTGGCCCTTTTGGAGATGATTTTTCACTTGCCGGTTCGAGTTTTGGCTTAATCATGTGTCGTGCTTCTTGTAGTATACATGGGGTAACAGAACTGATTAATACCTCACGACCAGCTCCTGATCGGCAATCGTAGGTTGTAAGAATATCAAACCTGTGTGAAATCCAGTCGCCTCTCGTGAGGGTTTCGCACTGTTGAAGTCGTTCGTATAGTGTGAGAACATGAATCGTGAGCTGTGAACTTTTAAACCCTGCGATTTGGTCGTACAGTCTGAGCTGGGACTGAGTGAAACAATCGAAAATATAGCACAGTGTACGTCCAGCATAACTCTCCAGTCGCTTTATGCACATGAACATGTTTCCGTCACTTTAAATCTCCACTTAAAGGTGCACTGTGTAACTTTTCTAGTTATATGTCTTTCCATGTTGTCTCCAGGAAAATATTATTGCTCTGTCTAGAATGTTCCACAGTATAGATTTCACCTAGAGACAAGCCGGTTACACCACTACGCTACATTACAGTTCAGATCTGTGGAGAGTTGCCCCTATTCACACAAGGAATAACTGTATTTTTGAGCAACAGAAACACCTGTAGTGAATAATTGCTAGATGGAAATGTTTAATGTCATACCATGGAACATTCCAGGCAAAGCAATGACATCTCCACAGAGACAAGTAGGAGCAATAGTGGAAAAGTTGCGTAGTACATCTATAATTTATCAAGCTGTCATGTGTTTTCATAATGGACAATACTAAACGGAACCAGGCAGCTGTCATTAGAAAATTACAAAGGCAATAGGAAAAATACACCCTTTACCCTGAGGTGGGTTCAACAATACTATGACAGCGGGTTAATTGCTCAGCTGCCCCTCTAGGCTGAACTACAGCTTTTCACAATGGATTCTCATTCTACTTCATGACAACCTCTATAAGCCAAATTTAACACTAAAGAAATGCGAAAACTATTTTATTTCTTAACTACACATTGCTTTCCTGGTGTGTTTATGTCTTAGTGTACATGTATTTTAGATTTTGCTAACAGCATAATTCTCCTGAGAAATACCACTGCTAGTGCTGAAAACTAGAGAGGGAGTGTGACCGCTGCTAAGTGTCTATAAAACCCCGTCTCCAAGGTGAATGTGAGACGTAACGTGCACGCACACACACACACACACACACACACACACGCACACACACACACTCGAAAGAAAAAACTTAAAACTTAAGATAGTAGGGCAAGACAATGTGGCCTAAAATATATCACAACAATATAGAAAAAATATATGCTTAAACAATATAATTAACATGATAAATAATAGTACATAAGATCATAGTACATAAGATCTTTATGGAGGTACAGGGATTCCTTTGCCGTAATAGTGTTTGACTATGAGAAATACCAACGACTATGGGTTAGTTATTATAGTCAGAACTGCAATGGTGTAAATACTGTAAAAGACCTTTTAAAGACCTGGTTTAGACCTGGTAAAGACCTGGTTTAGACCTGGTTTAGACCTGGTTTAGACCTGGTTTAGACCTAGTTTAGACCTAGTTTAGACCTGGTTTAAATGTGGATTAGACCTGGTTTAGACCTTCTTTAGACCAGGTTTAGACCAGGTTTAGACATGGATTAGACCTGGTTTAGACCTAGTTAAGACCTGGTTTAGACCTTCTTTAGACCAGGTTTAGACCAGGTTTAGACGTGGATTAGACCTGGTTTAGACCTAGTTAAGACCTGGTTTAGATCTGGTTTAGACGAAGTTAAAACCTGGTTTAGACCTAGTTTAGACCTAGTTCAGACCTAGTTTAGACCTGGTTTAGGCCTGGTTTAGGCTTGCTCAGTGCATTAGCAGTAGCAGCAGGGTAAATGCAAATTATATTGCATATTCAAATTTCAGTGTATTTGTTTGTCTGCTTTGTTTGAATACACTACAACAGACTACACTATTCTCCCTGCTTATTTTTATTTGTGATTGTTGAAATCCTATATGTGCCTCATATGTCATTGGAAAAGGCAGTGTGAGGTATTATGTGTATTGCCCAGGCAGAAATTAACTTCTGATCTCTTGGTTAAAGGGCAGACACTAGACCCACTGCACCACTGTTGCTCCATACAATACGCACATTGATTGAATATGTCAGGGCTGTGTGATAGGAAATATCAAGGGAGAAGTAACTGTTAGAGGGTACAAAGCTAATTTCTCCTAAGTAGGTTATCAGAATACAAACTTATTAGACTAAAGCCGTGAGCTAAAATCCACTCCATAAAGGACCAGCTAAAGATATCTGGCCTACTAATCTTTTTTCATGTAATAACACATCAAATGCGTGTGTGGCCAGTCCCAAAGAGCCATCTGAGCCACATAATGGACATAATAGGTCTGTCACCATAATTACTATAGACTTATTGTTCGATATAACTGGAATAATATATTTTTGGGGGTCAGTATTTATTGTGTGTAGTTTTTTTGAGGGGAAATGTTTGGTTATTTTTTGGCTATATGATAAGATCTAAAACTGCACAGTGTAAGTTTTCTGGTGGAGGGTCCCTCAAATACTTTGTGTGTTTAACAGTATGGCATTAAACATTTCTATCTTCATGAAGACCGAACCAGACCAAGGTATTTTTGAGCAATAAAACCACCTGCAATGTAATAAATGTAAGGTGGAGCTGTTCAATGTCATCTACACAGAAACAAGCAAGTGATGGACCAAAGGCCAAAAAGTGACATAATGCACCTTTAAACTGTAAACGGCTGAATTAATAACTTGTATGACTCATTACAGATGCAAACTAAGTACTGTGGTGTTTCATTTGGCTATTTATTTATTGTAGCTAATGCTTTTTAACAATATTGTAGATTTAGAAGAGTTTTTGTGGTATAATTCTGGTCTCAGGCTTAAATTAGTTTCAGTATTATTGTTGTCATTTGTCTTCCTGTTGTCTTATTTACTTCCGCAGTATGCCGTGCTTCAAAATTAGTTATCGTGACAGGTCTAGGAAGATAGTACACTAGATGGAAATTTTGATGGACAGACTTTGATTCAAGAACCGCCTGCTCAAAGCACCATTTTGTTCCCTCCATCACAGCTTGTCTCAATAACAAGGGCAAGCGCTTAACACCTAATACATTAAGTCATTATTCTGAGAAAGAGAGACTATAGAGATGAGAGGTGAATTCTAATTGATACTTTGCAGCTCATGACATCAACATTCCCTGGGGGTGTGAGACTAACTGTAGGCACTGCTCTGTCTGAAGCTCTGTTACTCAAGTTAGAATTTAATCTGACCTTTATTTTAACACGATATGACCATAAAGAGCTCACGTAGCTGGAGCTACAACAGGTGATCTGATATGTGCTTTTAAACATTTCTCTCTCAAATAATGTTATCGTCATGAGTGAGCTAGGATTGGCCAACAGTTTTTCACTTATCAAACAAAAGCTCTTGAAAATGTGCTGTTTAAATCCATTTTGTAGTTTTTTTCTACTTTTCTTTTATTGCTGCATGCATTGTGTCACCATGGTAACATTCCACCAATAGAAATACATAGAAATACATCCCCAGCATAATGTCATGTACATGTACTAGAGTAAAGAGGCGGGAGGAGATGTTTCTACTGAAACATGAACAACATTTGAAAAAGGACTGTCGCTGTATTTCGCTTCCCTTAAAAAATCTATACAACCTTTAAGTGATATAGTTGTACAGTAATATACTATAATACAGTGCATCAGTAATGAATGTGTGATTTTCTGTATGTTCCATAACAATCAGCTTTGAAATTAGATTATAATAAAAAAAATTTACGCGTAAAAATAATCTATATCGATCAACACACTACACAGGAGAAAAAAAAGACACATAGGCTCATACTGCCATCCCTTTGTCTTTCATGTGTTTTGGGTTGGCTCCTTTCACCTCTCAAAAATGCAGACACAAATATTAGCTAAACTATATTAAGCATCTCTCCCAGTTTTCTCATGTGTCTGTCATACCTGATGGAGATCTTTTCCGAGGACAAATTCCTGGAAGTATCCCGGAGCGGCGGAGGAGGCCCTGATAGCCTGCCACATTTTGTGTTTGCAGTCTCCAAGGTAGTGGGATCTCACTCCAGGCATGAGACGGTAGTTCCTGAATACATAGGCCTTCAGAGGTAAACCCCTGTTCACAATGGTGCTGACTGCTGACACCTAGTGGAGACAAAGTATAGTTCTGTATGTGACAACGTACAGAGGTGGACGATTCAGAAAAACTGCAACAAGTAACAGTTATACAAGTGACATTACACCTGGTTGTACAGTAGAAGTACAATTAAGTAAGCAGTTTTGTCATTATAAAAAACTGGTTCCGCCACCTGCTGGATTCCACAGACATCTGATTTTACACTTTGTTTTTATATGGCTTATGCAGACTTAACAATAAAACATATATAACAATAGAACATACAACCAAATTCATAATTTGAATGGGTGCATTAAGCAATTTGCAAAGGATACAATAACTTGATAACCAAATAATTTTTTTGTATTTATTTCTTTTTTTATATATCTTAAAATGAAGACGTAGTAAATGTTTCTGAATCTTGATTTTAAAGGGCCCACATTATACTATTTTCTGATCTGTGTTATAATGTTGTTTCATTCACACATGATTAACACAAAAACCATGTATATTTAGGCTGAGTTCTTCCCTCAAACAGAAAACACAGTGTTCACAGTGTTTTGAACTTCATACATATTCACTAGACTAAAGGGTTACTCAGACATGTGTGAATTAAACATAACACAACTCAAGATATGTTTTTGAGGAAGTAACAGCATTACAACATGGTTTAAAGCTCACAAGAGTTGATTTAATGTAATATAGGACTTTAAAATAAAGAACAAATCTAATCACGATAGACAAAACTTGGAATAATATTAAAACTACCAAATAACTTACTTTTGGACAGTGTGGATCCCTGGCGCTTTCAATCATACTTCCTTCACCCATTCTTTCCCTGTGAACATACAGTTTGGCCCAATCAGGAATAAAACAGACAAAAAAATACTCAATCAGACAAGAGGACTCACTTGAGGATGTTCTCCCACATTTCACTATCGTAAAATGCGTGGCTCCAGCCCATTTTGACTGTCCCCAAAATGACGTTCTGCTTAAAAACATCTGAGCCCAACTTCCTGTACATCTGCTCACACTCCTCCAGCGGGATCTGAAAAATGCCCAACATAAACGCCAAGATGGCACCTATGAAGAAAAAGAAACCGTAAGTGTCAATTAGAGAAATAGATTTACCAACAATGAATTCACATAAAAAAAGAAAATACCAGTGCTGACTCCACAGATGTAGTCAAACAGCTCATAGACTCTTTTACCAGTGAGATTCTCAAGTTTATTCAAAGTCTGTAGAGCCAGGAGACCTCTGGGAAGACAGAAAGTGTTGGTGTCAAATGGCATTTTTAATTAAGTACAGTATGTAGGAGTGTATTTAATATTTTACAAACAAAACTTTTTTGTGCCAGAGATATATTTAAGTTCCAAACAAATATTACTTTTACAATTGTAATTTTGCTTTCATTACAAAACAGCTAATTAGAAAGCAGAATGAGTCTCACACTTTGGTCTGCCAGATGCTTGTCAACTTGTTTTAAACAGACCAAACAGAACTCTCTTATTTATGGTTACTTAAATTTGAAATTGATTAAATAATGCAGTAAATGTACCTAGTTCCCCCTCCATCTATAGCCAGCACTCTGATGCCTCTGCCTTTCACAGGGTCCGTGTATCCAACCACAGCCAGAGCCTCCCTCACCGCCGACTGCAGGGGGAGGTCTTTCGCCTGCCGCAGACGCAGCAGGGTGGGCAGCACGCTCGACTAAATCAGAATCATTTGTTATATCAAGGACATAAACCAATTGCTGGGTTTCACATAACATTATATCCTTCTATTGGCCAATAACATTTAATAAAGATGAGTGCAACTAAAAATAATATTGGATCTGGACTGAGTTCCCACCGTTGCATTCATTAATAAAAATCACCAGGGTTAACATTTGTGAATATTTCTAGCAAAGATACCACTTTTATAAAAGGGACATCATCACATAGTAGAATCTGAAAACAACAACGAGAGCAGATTTGATATTTTCCAAGTGTATCCATCTTTGCATTTTTGTATACACTACTGACAGAAAATAGAAACTCTACCTACTATCAGGAACAATAAAATCAAATGCTATAAAACATCTAGCCAACCTTGATGGCTACGCCTCGTGTCTCTGGGTACTCAAGGAGGTGAAAGCTGAGCTCCTCGACTCGAGTGGTGAGAAGTTTAACATCAGTGACTCTCTGTACACCCTTCACCAATGCTCTGGTCCGATTGTCCACACTCACTCTGGCAATTATCTGGAAAATAACAAGAGAAAAACAATTTAAATGCAGCCTTGGAGAACATGAGTTAATCAGAGTGCAATCAATGCTTAATCTAGAAGTAATGAAGTAGCTATTGTTAATGAGCAGTATATCTACTATACCTTAATATGTGACTAAAGAATATGTATTATTATTGGAGCATCCCCCCCCCCACAATATTGCACTTCTACATAAAACTTTGTTGTAAAATATACAATTAAATCACACACAGAGCCCCGCTTAAAAGTGTAATTTTTCCATTCAAAGGTATAATGCAATATTTCTGCAGGTTTTTTTTCCAGTCCAGTGCTGCTTTGTGTGCTACTAAACCTTAATCAAGACATTACACACTTGTTTAAACACATTTCTAATAGACTGGCTAAAATATTGTGATCATATAAAATCACCCACTCTTACAATGATTGGGAAACGAAAATACAATTCACACTAATACAAAAACAACAACAAGTACCTTCTCTCTTTGACTTATAAGGAGCTGCTTGGCCTTCTCCTTTTTCTCTTCTTCACTTTCAATCTTCTCTCCTGGTTTCTGTTCAGTAGATGCGATCACTGGAGCTTTCTCTTTCTCCGCCAACTCAACTTTACTTTCACTTCTGAATTTCGGGACCAGGGGAGCTATGTAATTACCAACGAATGCTTGAACGCTCGGTCTGGGGTAGGACAGATAGTGAGTGAAGCCTTTTTTGGATGGTGCAGCTGGGACAGGAGCAGAGGGAGGTACAGTAGTGATGTCTTTAGATAAAGTTTGATTTTCTGGGATCGTAGTGGTTGTAGAGCTCTCAATACTTTTAGTTTCCGCCACTGGAGACATAACAGGCATTGGCTCCTTGGTTGGCTGAAATGCAATATGAACAGCAGGCTTTTCAGATACTTGTTTCTGTCTATCATTATCTTCTGCATTGCTCCCGAAGTAACTATTAATATGGGTTGCTAGTGTTTTATAGGTCTCATCCATGTTACTTGAAAATCCAGTTGGGTGAAATTTCTGTAGAGTTTGTTTGGCCACGTTTGTAGAGGAACTTGGCACGGATGCACTTGAGGCTGTGGCAGATTTTTTGCTAGCAAGATAAGGTTTTTCTGAAATATTTTGGGTTTGTTCATCCTTGTCTTTTTCACCCTCCTCTTCTTTCATTTTGGTCTCAAGTTTAGAATTTTGATTTTCTGAGTGGTTTTGAGTAGCTTCTTCTGAACTATTTGGTGTTATTGCTTCTGTTCTAACTAAAATCTTTTCAGCCTGAGGGCTGTCCACTGCTAAACTTCCAGGTTTAAGCCAAGAAAACCTGGAAATGAAATCTGCACTCCCCACCGCCTTTGTGACACTGTCTATAGTGGTCCTGATTCGCGACATGCGTTTAGCTTGCCAACGGGGGCAGTAGTGGTGAACAAAAAACTTTTTTCTTCAGCAGGACTTTGGATGTTGTTGTAGAGAACAGTGCACCATTCTGCTGGGCCAGGCGTCGTTAGCTGTAGAAATCCACGACCATTCTGGCAGTTGTTTCTCTTGTTTCTGTAAAAAATTAAGATAGAATAAAGAAATAAATAACTAGTAAGAAAATGTTATACTTAATGTGGTATAGAGCAGAATTAGTAACAGAATAAGTTTTTATGCTATTGTGAATAAAAAAACTTGTTTCAGCATTATGGTGAAACATAAAACAATAATATAAACTATGATATGTGGGGTATCTCTCAATCGGTCAAAGTTTACATTGACAGTGTAGTGAAATAAATAAAATATAAGAGGATTATTTATGTATGTTTATGTCTTTAGAGCTCTAAGGTGCACTTTTCTCGACCAGCTTTTACCTGGAATACTCCAGAATATGACATTAAAGATCTATATTATGCTGTAGGCCTATTCATTAAATTTAAGATGTTTCTAAAAATATCTAGAAAAACTTACATTCATTCTCATTCAACATACATTCTCTGATCAGGCTCAGCTGACCACAGATATGATCCTGGTGCTTGGTGGCAAAGCCTGCTGTGCTTGTCGAATTGGAGATGATTGTTTAATGCTGTAGGGTGAAACATTTTATGCATCGAGGCAACCAGAAAGCCAACCAAAAAATCAGAAAGTTACACTGTGCACCCTTAAAAACAACGTTTATATTACACTTGCATACAAAATTAAGCAGCCAAGTGCACCAACAGAGGGCCTCGTGCGCCTCCAGGTTGTCAAAGCAACAGCACACATCTAAACAGAGGCTGGCTGAACGCAAAACACGCAGGTTAATGGCAAATTTGCTTTAAATCTGGTAGGAAGAGACAATGGATCGCACTTTAAAATATAAAGACTTGGCACCTTTATATTTTAAAGTGCGATCCATTGTCTCTTCCTATCAGAATATAAAGACTTGGCACCTCTCCCCCTTGAACTGCCACCTTATTGTGGTGGGGGAGTTTGCGTACCCGAATGATCCTAGGAGCTATGTTGCCTGGGGCATTATGCCCCTGGTAGGGTCTCCCATGGCAAACAGGTCCTAGGTGACGGGGCAGACTAAGAGCAGTTTATAAACCTCTATGAACAGTATTAAAACAAGGACCGTGACGTCGCCCGGTATGGCGCAGCTGGGGCCCCACCCTGGAGCCAGGCCTGGGGTTGGGGCTCGAAAAGCGAGCGCCTGGTGGCAGGGCCTTTGCCCATGGGGCCCGGCCGGGCTCAGCCCGAAGGGACGACGTGGGCCCGCCCTCCTGTGGGCTCACCACCCGCAGAGGGTTTCATAGGGGTCAGGTGCGCTGTGAACTAGGCAGCGGTCGGGGTCAGGGATCCCGGCAACCTAGTCCACGGACACAGAACCTGGCTGTAGGGACGTGGAATGTCACCTCACTGGGGGGGAAGGAGCCTGAGCTTGTGCGAGAGGTTGAGAGGTACCGGCTAGATATAGTGCGCCTCACCTCCACGCACAGCTTGGGCTCTGGTACCCAACCTCTCGAGAGGGGTTGGACCCTCCATTTTTCTGGTGTTGCCTGCAGTGCAGAGTATCCGGCCTTCTTGGAGTCCCTGGGAGGGGTACTAGACAGTGCACCAACTGGGGACTCCGTTGTTCTACTGGGGGACTTCAACGCCCACGTGGGCAACGCCAGTGACACCTGGAGAGGGGTGATTGGGAGGAACGGCCTCCCTGATCTGAACCCGAGTGGTGTTCTGTTATTGGACTTCTGTGCTAGTCACAGTTTGTCCATAACGAACACCATGTTCGAGCACAAGGGTGTCCATAAGTGCACCCTAGGCCGGAGGTCGATGATCGACTTTGTCGTCGTGTCATCTGACCTCCGGCGGTGAAGAGAGGGGCTGAGCTGTCAACCGATCACCACCTGGTGGTGAGTTGGATCCGCTAGCGGTGGAGGAAGCCGGAAAGACCTGGCAGACCCAAGCGTGTCATGAGGCTCGGTTGGGAACGTCTGGCGGAGCCCTCTGTCAGCAGGATTTTCAACTCGCACGTCCGGGAGAGCTTCTCCCAGATCCCGGGGGAGGTTGGAGATATGGAGTCCGAGTGGGCTCTGTTCTCCACCTCCATTGTCAATGCGGCCGCCCATAGCTGTGGGCGTGAGGTCTGTGGTGCCTGTCGCGGCGGCAATCCCCGAACCCGGTGGTGGACACCGGAAGTAAGGGATGCCGTCAAGCTGAAGAAGGAGTCCTATCGGGTCTTGTTGGCTCGTGGGACTCCTGAGGCAGCTGATGGGTACCGACGGGCCAAGCGTGCAGCAGCTCGTGCGGTCGCAGAGGCAAAAACTCGGAGCTGGGAGGAGTTTGGGGAGGCCATGGAGGAGGACTATCGGACGGCCTCAAAGAGATTCTGGCAAACCGTCCGGCGCCTCAGGAGGGGGAAGCAGTTCTTCACCAACACTGTTTACAGTGCAGGGGGAGAGCTGTTGACCTCGACTGGGGATGTAGTCGGACGGTGGAAAGAATACTTTGAGGATCTCCTCAATCCCACCGTCACGTCTTCCGAGGAGGAAGCAGAGACTGGGGACCCAGAGGCGGATTCGTCCATCACCCTGGCTGAAGTCACTGAGGTGGTTGGCAAGCTCCTTGGTGGCAAGGCTCCGGGGGTGGACGAGATCCGTCCTGAGTATCTTAAGTCTCTGGATGTTGTGGGGCTGTCTTGGCTGACACGCCTCTTCAACATCGTATGGAGGTTGGATACAGTACCTCTGGACTGGGGTGGTGGTCCCTCTGTATAAGAAGGGGGACCGGAGGGTGTGTTCCAATTACAGGGGAATCACACTCCTCAGCCTCCCCGGTAAGGTCTATTCCAGGGTACTGGAGAGGAGAATCCGCCCGATAGTCGAACCTCGGATTCAGGAGGAGCAGTGTGGTTTTCGTCCTGGCCGTGGAACACTGGACCAGCTCTACACTCTCCATAGGGTGCTCGAGGGTTCATGGGAGTTTGCCCAACCAGTCCACATGTGTTTTGTGGACTTGGAGAAGGCATTCGACCGTGTCCCTCGTGGTGTCCTGTGGGGGGTGCTCCGGGAGTATGGGGTTCGGGGCCCTTTGCTAAGGGCTGTCCGGTCCCTGTATGACAGGAGCAGGAGCTGTGTTTGCATTGCCGGCAGTAAGTCAAACCTGTTCTCGGTGCATGTTGGACTCCGCCAGGGCTGTCCTTTGTCACCGGTTCTGTTCATTGTTTTTATGGACAGAATTTCTAGGTGCAGTCAGGGGCCGGAGGGGGTCCGGTTCGGGGACCACAGGATCTCATCTGTGCTGTTTGCAGATGATGTTGTCCTGTTGGCTTCATCGAACCAGGACCTGCAATGTGCACTGGGGCAGTTTGCAGCCGAGTGTGAAGCGGCTGGGATGAAGATCAGCTCCTCCAAATCCGAGGCCATGGTTCTCGACTGGAAAAAGGTGGCTTGCCCTCTCCAGGTAGGTGGAGAGTCCCTGCCCCAAGTGGAGGAGTTCAAGTATCTCGGGGTCTTGTTCACGAGTGAGGGGAGGATGGAGCGTGAGATTGACAGGCGGATCGGTGCAGCTTCAGCAGTGATGTGGTCGCTGTATCGAACCGTTGTGGTGAAGAGAGAGCTGAGCCGAAAGGCAAAGCTCTCGATTTACCGGTCAGTCTTTGTTCCCACCCTCACCTATGGTCATGAGCTCTGGGTAATGACCGAAAGAATGAGATCGCGGACACAAGCGGCCGAAATGAGTTTCCTCCGCAGGGTGGCTGGGCGCTCCCTTAGAGATAGGGTGAGGAGGTCAGTCACACGGGAGAAGCTCGGAGTAGAGCCGCTGCTCCTTCACGTTGAGAGGAGCCAGTTGAGGTGGCTCGGGCATCTTTTCCGGATGCCTCCTGGACGCCTCCCTCGTGAGGTGTTCCGGGCATGTCCCACTGGGAGGAGGCCCCGAGGAAGACCCAGGACACGCTGGAGGGACTATGTTTCTCGGCTGGCCTGGGAACGCCTTGGGGTTCCCCCAGAAGAGCTGGAGGAAGTGTGCGTGGAAAGGAAATCTGGGAGTCCCTGCTTAGACTGCTGCCTCCGCGACCCGGCCCCGGATAAGCGGAAGAAAATGGAATGGAATGGAAACATTGAGTGGATTGCAAGCAAGGATTTCAAAGTCGAAGCTGGACTGAGGCAAATTCACGAGTATATCAAAACCTGGGATCTCCCCTCTGCTTGGCTCTACAGTTTGGACTATTTGGGCGTAACTAAAGAGGAGTTTTTCACTTTTTATCACTACAGGGCCCGCTTCAGCACTCCGACTGCGCAGAAACCAATGACGGGAACAGCCGGCGTCTACTTCGCCGTGAACAAAGTCAATCCACAGACGCAGCCAGTGAATCCGTGTATCATTCGTTCATTCGTTTTTCAATATAAAACCAAAAATAAGAAAACGAAAAAACAACAGTTTTCGTTATTTGTCTCCAAAACCAAAATGAAAAAACGG